CATCAAGGGGGTTACTAACCAATAGGATTTATGATAATTTAATAAATTAATTGATTTTATTAATAAAATCAATGACATAATTTAGTAACATTGATTTATTTTTGGGGTTATATGAGTTACAAAAATAAATATCATAAGTTATCATAAGTTATGAGTTAAGAAAATTAATAACTTAAATTATCAAAAATAAATCTCATAAGTTATTAAAATAAATGTGAGTCATAAATAAAAATATAACATGTGTGTGTTAAATTTTTGTACAATACTAACATATTAATATATCTCTATCATCATGAAAATTTCGATATACAATAAATGTATTTGAAAATATTTGAAGTATTATATAAATTATTGGCGGTGAGGATGGCATACAAAATGTCCTGCGGCTGGTGACGACTTCTACTATCGATGACAATATTTTACTTATGGCTACGTATTTGAAATTTGAACAAATTCATGGAATATTATAGAAAATAGTCTAAAAAAATGAATTCTAAATTTATTCTTATTCTATGCTGGATTTATATCTCATTCCATCGAACGTCAAAAATCAAAAAGGAATGCATAGCCAAGTAAACATCCCCTAAATTTTCCGGTTGACTCCTTCCATCTACTTTGCTGCTGACCACTTCGTTTTATCCACTGAATCCTTGAGTTTTTTGTTCTTTTTAACTATGTTGCTCGGTTTTATCCACTGAATCCTTCTCTTTTGTACAGGAACTTCACAACTAGGGCTACTGCCATTTGGTACCAGATGTCTTGCTTCCTCATGCGGTCTTTTACCTCTTTTTCAAATCCATGGGGAAACTGAAGCAGCCTTTCGCGCTGGTTAGATATCTTCTTCCATCAGAGTAACCCGTGATTGACGGCCGGATTTGAGAGAAATTTTGGTTTCTGTTCTAAAGGAGCTGAGATTATGGAAATAGTATTGTCTAAGAAATTTCTATGGACTTGCACAGTTCATCGATCCCTTGTGATCGCTGCGGGGATCATGGCTTTGTTTCTTATGACGGCGTCATGGTTTCTTGTTTCTTCCACTAGGTTAATTTATCCTTTCAGTGCCAAAGTTGCAGAAGATATTCAGACTTTGGAGAATGCTACTAAGAGTGATTCGAGAGATCACGGCGATGGCCGGTTAGTTTTGGATGGTGGAGGTATCTCTTTGGCCCAATCTAACAAGACGAAGAAGGCTGAGTTTGGTGAGTTCACTTTCCTTAATCTTTCTATTTGGTGTCTAGTTTTATGTAGTTGGTGAAATTAATGAATCCCATTAAGATTTAACAAAAATGATAGATGTTTTTGATATAGATAGCATCCAATTCTTATGCATTTATGTATCTCACATCAAAACTTTCATTTTTACAAATACAACACCCAAAATAGTACTAGTCACACTTTTCAATAGTGAAATCTACATTTTCATGCGTAAGTAAGGTCAGGTTTGTAAAAATCAAAGTTTTTTTTTATGTGTGATAGGTAAATGCATAAGAATTGGCGGTTAGGTATGTAAATTTCCGTAGAAAAAAATTGGGTTAGATTATTTTGACTAAAATTTATTTATAGGATGTGTTATATAGTCTTTAATTTACTTTAAGTTGAATATGATGCGAGACTAATTAATTAATTCTCTTATTGCACTCATATCAAAATAAATTCCCTGACTACAAAACTTCTAAAAATTTTTTTAGTATGTCCTAATCAAAATCTGTGAGAATAGATCTAAAAATCGCAGCTGCTTTGATATTTGATGAGTTCCTACAAGCCTCACCATAAGTAGGCAAGTAAAGCCCGCATTTTCATTGAGAAGGATTTGGGGCCTTTAACAATAATAGAAATTAGAAACAGACCAACAATTTTACCATAATTTGGAATAAGCCATCAATAATTAGATAAACATGAAAAAAAAGAAAATGTAGCAGAGATTTGGTTTTCTACGCTATTTCTAAACTACTTTGAAGCAGTAAATATTCAAGAAAGTCATCACAATCAAGAAAAAATATTAACTTTAACAGCATAGGCATTTAGAATAAGTTAATAAATTGTTCATTTTGAAAGTTATGGGGTCTTTATAAATTTTCTTGCCTAGGATCATAATTTGTTATACTTTGATCAAGGTTGAATATGGGATTGAGAGTTAAGGTATCATCATCAAGCGAGCATCTATAAAATGTCTTGATATGAAACTAGAAAAAATATAACAAAAATTAAAGTTTGAAATTCAAAATATGAGTTAAAATATTTAAATTTTCAACATTGAATTTATTATTTCTGCATGAAACACTTTGTAGTTATTATTATTATTATTATTATGAAGTGCTTTCAACTTGACTAGGATGTCCAAATGACAGAGCTAATTTGGACTTGTTTCACTCTACTAATTTGATTCCCTGCCTTTGAATTTCCCTCCCTCTTTGTTTTTTTTTTTAATTCATAAGTTCTCATATATGTTTTAACATTTTTTCAAAACAAATAATTACATTGTAGGTTTTGATAAATTTCCATTGGTTGCCAAGCCTGCTGAGGATTCTAAACCTTTCAACAATTCTACCAAGACTGTTACAGGAAGATTAGATAGCAACACCTCTACATGGGCACCTGCAAGACATATCTCCCATTCCAGCAATTCAGTGAAGGCGAAGTTCGGTATTTTCTATTGCTTTTGAAGAATTTGATTTCTTCTAATGGGTTTATCAATCATGCCAAATTTGAAGATTGCATAAAGGGAATTTGTAGCCAGAGCACATGTTGAAAGAAAAGAAAAGGAGTTTAAGAAACAATATTTTACCTTTTTGGAAAAAAAAAAGACTAATTTGTTTGATTTGAAATATCCTCCGGCACAAGAAAGTTTTCAATCTCTTATTACTTTATAAAACATTTATGCTGTAATATTGTTGAAAAATGAAGTAAAAGCAATTTGATATTGGTCTAACTAATGAGCATAAGCTTTTGATATATTAGCTTGCCAAGTGCCATGATGATGAGGCTTAGAGCATGTTTGAATCACTTTTATTTTTATTTTTAAAACATGTTTATATAGTGTTTTTTTTGTATTTTTTTTGTGTTCAAAATAAATTAATTTTATTTTTAAAAATATTCAAAATATCTAAAAATTATTTTGTGTAGATTTAAAAATATTATTGACAAATATGTATTAAGAACAAAGTCTGAATTTTCACTTCCCCCCTTTAATAAAACCTATTCCTCTGCAACTTATTAGGCGATTGTGATCTCTACCATGGAAAATGGATATACGACCCAGCCGGTCCTCTGTACACAAACTCCACATGTCCTATTTTGACACAATCACAAAATTGTCAGGGCAATGGGAGACCGGACAAGGACTACGAGAACTGGAGATGGAAGCCTGATCAGTGCGAAATCCCTCGATTTGATGCCACGAAATTCTTGGGCTTGATGAAAGGAAAGGTGCTGGCTTTCATTGGGGATTCAGTCGCTCGAAATCAGATGGAATCATTGCTTTGCATTTTATGGCAGGTCAAAACTCAATTTTTCTTCTCTTTCTCATTAATATGAAGAAAGATTTACATACATACCACTCAATTTTTATGTTTTTTCATATCTAACATCTAAACTTCAATTATACATCTGTGTCACCTTTCATTTGCAAGAAACATCTCTTTCACTTTTTTTTTTTAAGTTGAAATAGTGATATTTTTTATGCGATATGAAAATTTAGGGTGGTACAAAAGTGACACCAAAATTTTATTTTTTACATATTTGCCCCTTTCCTATGCATGAAAATAGGGGTTCGGGGTGGGCGACCGGGGCGGAACCATGTTGCTTACATTCAGGTTGGGCAGTCGCTCCGCTTTCAGAATTTGAGATTTTTTCATGTGAATAGTAAAACTTAGTACTTTTTTCTTATTTAGTTACAATTTAGTAAGTCCCCCCTTCTGGATATGTTTTTTTGCCGAATACTAAAAAAAATAAATTTTGGTGATTTTGGTTGATGAGTGCTATATTTCACTTTTCTTTTTTAAGTTAAAATAGTGCGTTTTTATTGGTATATGGATGAATTGGGTGGTGTAAATGAAAAATACAAGTTTTAGCTGCTTGATATGTAAACTCATATGAATTCTGTGGTATATATGTAAACGCCCTAAAAAGTTAAGTTTAGGTGGTAGCTATTTAAATATATAGGCATGTAAGATGCCCCTACGAACGAATGCTTGGAAATGGGAAATATTTTCATACGGAATACACACGCAGCTCTGCGCTGCGTACTTCATTAACCCCGCAATACCTCCTAATAATCTATGAATAACATCCAAATAGAACCCGTGAAGGCAATTGGAAGGTTATTGGGATTATATCTTATTGAAATTAATACCCAATAATCTCCCAATAACCCCAAATAACTGTGAAGCGGAGATTATTGAGGGGTTATTACGCACGCTTCGTGCGTATTCCGTATGGAAATATTTCCGGAAATATATTAATTCAGCCGGGTGTTGGACTGTTTGATAAAAAACTATGATCCCTGAATCGGTTTTTGAACAGTTAGAAACTCCGAGGATGCGTGGCAATCGACGAATGCATCGATGGGTCTTCAAGACCACCTCGACCACCATCGTGCGCATCTGGTCCTCATGGCTCGTCGGCAAGTCGATGGACGCACTGCAATCTGCTCCTCGAGGAATACCCAAGGTCTGTCTTGACGAACCCGATGAAGCTTTCTTCGAACTCCTCCCCATGTTTGATGTGGTGGTCCTCTCTTCTGGCCACTGGTTCTCCAAGCGGTCCATCTACATCCTCAACGGCGAGATTGTAGGCAGCCAGCTCTGGCGTTCCGAGAGTGCTCTAAGGAATCACATCAACAGTATGACTGCTTACAATATAGCAATGGAGACTATTCTTACTGCAATGGCAACTCATCCTAACTACACAGGCTTAACAATTCTCCGAACTTATTCCCCGGATCATTACAAAGGGGGTTCCTGTAGTAACAATGTAAAGCCTGCTAGAAAAGTAGATAGGAATGGACATACTTTGATGATGCATGATAAACAGGTAGAAGGTTTTAGAGAAGCTGCGAAGAAGGTGAGGAATAAGTCCAAGTTGAGGTTGATGGATATCACGGAGGCTTTTGGATACCGGCACGATGGGCATCCAGGGCGATACAGGAGTCCTGATGCCAAGAATTCGAGGGGAAGATATCTCAGTGAGAAGACACAGAGTGAGGATTGTTTGCATTGGTGCATGCCTGGACCAGCGGATATCTGGAATGAGATTTTGTTTGAGATCCTGAAGAGGGAATTATGAGGAGAGCAAGTGGAAGTTTGAAGATCGAGTGAATGACCAAAAAGGTTCTTAAATTCTTATGTTTTTACATATGTAACACCTAAACTTTGATTTTTTAGATTTATACCATTCAAAATTTTAATATCATGTAAAAAAGATGCGGCCATTTTAACTTTTAAATACTCAAATATACCTTTTCATGCATGGGTAAGGTGGTAAGTATGCAGAAGTTAAAAGTGTTGGTGTTAGATATGTAAATACATAGGAATTGTGTAGTATGCTTGTAAATCTTTGAAAATTTTTAAGGGGTGTTTCTCGAAGTCCCGGATTTTTTTAGGCATTTAATTTAGTTGATGAAGTCATCAATTCTTAACTAATTTGGTTCTACCTTCAACTTCACTATTTCGTTGGTTCGAAATTGGAAGAGGAATGATTTCTCCGAGGCATTTTGGCTTTTTTGGGGTCAGCCTCATTAGTTTGGGTTTATAATAAATAATGAGATTGGCTTTAAAAAGTCTAAGATGAAATCAAAGAAGTTTGTCTCAATCACTTTTCATCTGAAGAAACAATAAAGTTGATGATAAGATCAAATTTGATTAAATTTGATAAGTTTAAGGACTAAATTTGTTAACATAAGCTGTACATGGAAGACATTAGCATTAACATCATTCTCGTGGTGCGGTGTTACACCGTTTTTGAGGTGCATCGTTACTCTACATTTGGGATGCTTCGTTACACTCTTTGAGGTGCATTGTTATATCGTCTTCAGGTCCATCATTACACCGTATCTTGGGTATATGGGTACATCATCTTATGGGAGTGTCGTTGCACTATCTTCGGGGTGCATCGTTACATCGTAAGATTCATCGATGCCAACAAGCAAGAGGCAACCTATGATGGGTGATCGACTGTGGTCGACAGCTGTGAGAGCAGGAAATGCTCGCCAGTTCTTCTTTCCAAAATAACACTAGAATTCGACTTCTCTTGGTCCAGCTCTAGCTCTAGGTCCTCCCTTTTCATGAAGGAAGTAGGGCTCTATCTATGAGTTTGAGAGTAACCTCTCTGTAAATAATATAAGAATTCGGATCACTCCATCGGACGTTCCAAAGAGATTTCCTCGATCAGATAAGATTTTATGGATATTAAGTGTCTTAATAATGTGAGAATTGAGTGATATTGGGCTCTTTATATTCGTCTCATTGAGAAGCTTGATTCAATTATATGCTCATCAGATTTAAAATTCATTATACATTTCGATTATCCACCCAAAGCTTCCAAAAGCAATTTAACGACTTGATCTGAGCTTGATTTAACTCGGATTAGATCTTAGGTGTTTTTGGGTTCACCTCGCCAGGCCGGTTAATTTGACTGTAAGTTTGTTGAAATTGGTGTTCCGTATGATTTTTAATTTTAATTTGAACATTCTTATTAAAAAATTATCTTGAGATTCATGTCACACCTTAAAATTTATGTTAAATTGTAAAATTTGTTGATGAGGAATTAGTTACATAGCTCATAAAACTTCTTTGTCTACATATCTAACACCCACACATTCTTATTTACTTATACAACAATTAAAATTATTTTAATACATCAAACTTAACCCTCTTGTTTTCTTCTTCCCTTTTGTCCGTTCAATCCACATATTCTTCCCCGTTCTCCCTCAAGTCCAAAACCAAATGACGCGGCCGGCTATAAGGATCCATAGAAATGGAAGAAATATCATTTTTTTCTGTTCCTCTTGGTTGCCTGTGAAGCGTTGAATGGCCTTTCCAAACCTTTACAGAACGTTGAGGAGATAAGTGGTGAGTTGTCTTCCCGCTTGATTAATAATCACAATGGCTTTTAAAAAAAATAGAATTTGGGTTTGAGCAATAGGGTTGAAAAGAGACGAATACTATTGTCCCGCTTGATTAATAATCACAATGGCTTTTAAAAACATAGAATTTGGGTTTGAGCAATAAGGTTGAAAAGAGACTGCAGCTTCGCCCCTGTGAGCTTTTTCTATGGATTTTGTTTTTTTCTGTTTTTCAATGTTGAACTGTAACCTCCATGGAGCAATATCGTGGGCGGCATCGTCTGACACTGGATTTAACGGAGAGAGGGCAACAAGATAATGACTTTTGGAGGAGGTTCGCCTAGATAAGAAGGTTTGGGTGTTGGATATGTAAATAAATAAGTTTTTAAGTTCTATGTATGTCAATTACCCAATATGATAATGTTTGATATCTAGTATATGTTTTTCTTTGCCTTCCAAGAGCTAAGATTTGTAATATTATCAAATGCCTTCTTTAATATCATATTGTAAAAGTCACTTTGAGTAGGGTTGTAGATTTTCTTGCTGATAAAAGATTGTAGGAATATTTAAGAGTTGGCAAATTTTGTTTTATGGATTTGAAATATGAAATGTTGATTCTCTCAGTGCCTGTATTTCAATATAATGGTCCCTTAACACCCTTTATTGAGTATTTGTTAGAATAAGATTATTGTATGCACCAAAAACATTTACACGTACTGAAAACAATCAAGCGGCTTAGGACGATGATTGGGCCGCTTGATTGGGCAATCGAGGTATCATGCTACAAAAACGTGATCCAAGTCAACCATACAATGACCGACAGCTCAGCCGGAGCCATCTGATGCATTATGACGAGGGATTTAATTGGTGGGCCGCACCTACAGTCTCGAACCACCTAAAACTCTTCACAATATGGCCCAACCACAACATATCGACCGAATGGTCTTTTACTTCGGCAAACACGATCATGATTTGATTGGTCACCTTGGTCGGCTGAACTCAAGTGCGTCGACTAGCTAGTCACAGCCACATTCGAATTCAAATTGTAATATATATTTGACAACAAATTATCATGATTAAATTGCATTAAGGACGGTTTTCATAATCATTCCATGTTTTCTGTAATTGTACAAATACGTCTTTATAAATGGGAGACAAAAAGACGAATAAATGGACCTCTTTTCGTTTCTATGTGGGAACTTCCTCAATTACCTTTCTCTCTCACCCTCTTTCCGGCTCTAACTCTCGAGACATGTTTTCCACAATTACATTTTATGAAATAGAGAGATATCAATGTGATTTGATTTTCCTTGGATCATTTATGGTTATATCTTTTTGAGTAGTTGACTCAATACATCGTAAAATTATGAAAACACTATGAGCGGTTAAGGATGATCAGATAACACTTTTATAAATTTAAAACCCATTTTGGATTATAATAAATTTTCTATGATTTTTATTTTATTTTATCATAAAAATAAATAAAAAATAAGATTTATTTTATATATTATGAAAATCATCAAAGAGACTTGGGCGACCTTATCAATGCTTCCATAAAAATTTAGGGTTCATTAGCTAACATTTATATTTTTTATAATTTCTATGTTATTTGATGATTTAATTTTTTTCTAAAATGCATAAAAAAAATATTTCTATATTTAAATTAAATTAACTTACTTGCTTTAGATTCTAAATATTTAGAAGATTCTATAGGCCTTTAGTTTAGATTTTCTTAAGCCTATTTGAATTTCTTATAATTTTCTAAGTTCTATGGTAATAAATATAATTACTTAATTAATCTATTATATTATGCCTTTGCTCTTATATAGCCCAAATTAATTTTTTTGAACAAATGCCTATAAAATTTTAATTGCAACTTATATGTCATCATGGCATCTTGAGCCTCAATTAAAAGTTAACAACATTCAAACATCAATTGAACAAACTATAATGTAATAGAATTAAACATGTAAGATTTGCTTTTTTTGCTTGTCATTGTTGGAGTCTTACAATCAACTAATTTTGTAATTAGAAGCCAAAGTTTTTATTGTGGAATTAGGCAGGTCTTTGAATTTGGCCTTTTATTCTCCTTTTTGCTTTCTTTTGTGTTGGAGAGCATGAAACATTCCATTTTTACATAAAACGATACGAATAGGGTTCATTAGCTAACATTTATATTTTTTATAATCTCTATATTATTTGATGATTTAAATTTTATCTAAAATTCATATTAATTTTAATCATTATAGAAATTATCAAAAAGGTTGGTAAGGTCTCCTTGATATTGCCATAAAGATTTTAAAAGTATTTGGATTTATTTATTTATATTATTAATTAATAATAAAAATTTAAAAAAAATATTTCTATATTTAAATCAAATTAACTTACTTGCTTTAGATTCTAAATATTTAGAAGATTCTATAGGCCTTTAGTTTAGATTTTCTTAAGCCTATTTGAATTTCTTATAATTTTCTAAGTTCTATGGTAATAAATATAATTACTTAATTAATCTATTATATTATGCCTTTGCTCTTATATAGCCCAAATTAATTTTTTTGAACAAATGCCTATAAAATTTTAATTGCAACTTATATGTCATCATGGCATCTTGAGCCTCAATTAAAAGTTAACAACATTCAAACATCAATTGAACAAACTATAATGTAATAGAATTAAACATGTAAGATTTGCTTTTTTTTGCTTGTCAATGTTGGAGTCTTACAATCAACTAATTTTGTAATTAGAAGCCAAAGTTTTTATTGTGGAATTAGGCAGGTCTTTGAATTTGGCCTTTTATTCTCCTTTTTGCTTTCTTTTGTGTTGGAGAGCATGAAACATTCCATTTTTACATAAAACGATACGAAGCTTAGAAGTTTCAAATGTTGTAATTAGTACGAACATTTTAATATTTATTTGAATCAAATTCTTTTTCGTTAATGATGAGCCCAAAGAGTAATATCACGACGAGAAACATTGTAATTGATTTCATCATGGTGTGAATATAAGTGATAATTTGGTCTGAAATAAATCTTTAGATATCTTTCTAAATAAATAAATAATATTTATATTATCACAATTTTTGTTATTTTGATATTTTCGAAGTCAAATTCTCATTTAATATTTTACATATTAAAAATTTTCTTTAATTTTCAGAGTTTAGATTTTCTTAAGCCTATTTGAATTTCTTATAATTTTCTAAGTTCTATGGTAATAAATATAATTACTTAATTAATCTATTATATTATGCCTTTGCTCTTATATAGCCCAAATTAATTTTTTTGAACAAATGCCTATAAAATTTTAATTGCAACTTATATGTCATCATGGCATCTTGAGCCTCAATTAAAAGTTAACAACATTCAAACATCAATTGAACAAACTATAATGTAATAGAATTAAACATGTAAGATTTGCTTTTTTTGCTTGTCATTGTTGGAGTCTTACAATCAACTAATTTTGTAATTAGAAGCCAAAGTTTTTATTGTGGAATTAGGCAGGTCTTTGAATTTGGCCTTTTATTCTCCTTTTTGCTTTCTTTTATGTTGGAGAGCATGAAACATTCCATTTTTACATAAAAGCTTTTTTATTTGAAGTATCTTCTAAAAGTTGCATGTGAAAATAAGTGGTGTTCATGCCATGAAGCTCGTTGGTGAAGCCGTCGCAAAACGATACGAGGCTTAGAAGTTTCAAATGTTGTAATTAGTACGAACATTTTAATATTTATTTGAATCAAATTCTTTTTCGTTAATGATGAGCCCAAAGAGTAATATCACGACGAGAAACATTGTAATTGATTTTATCATGGTGTGAATATAAGTGATAATTTGGTCTGAAATAAATATTCTAAATAAATAAATAATATTTATGTTATCTCAATTTTTGTTATTTTGATATTTACGAAGTCAAATTCTCATTTAATCTCTTACATATTAAAAATTTTCTTTAATTTTCAAAGGTTAGAAATTTTATTAGGATTTTAGAGTTTGTCTCGACTAGGGATGTAAACGAGCCGAACATGAGCAAGCATGGGCTCAGCTCGTGTTTGGTTGGTTAAGAAGGACTATTGTTCGTGTTCGACTTGTTCATAGTTCAAACACAATTTTTTTTTTAATCTTCGGCTTTATATTTAAATTAAATTAACTTACTTGCTTTAGATTCTAAATATTTAGAAGATTCTATAGGCCTTTAGTTTAGATTTTCTTAAGCCTATTTGAATTTCTTATAATTTTCTAAGTTCTATGGTAATAAATATAATTACTTAATTAATCTATTATATTATGCCTTTGCTCTTATATAGCCCAAATTAATTTTTTTGAACAAATGCCTATAAAATTTTAATTGCAACTTATATGTCATCATGGCATCTTGAGCCTCAATTAAAAGTTAACAACATTCAAACATCAATTGAACAAACTATAATGTAATAGAATTAAACATGTAAGATTTGCTTTTTTTGCTTGTCATTGTTGGAGTCTTACAATCAACTAATTTTGTAATTAGAAGCCAAAGTTTTTATTGTGGAATTAGGCAGGTCTTTGAATTTGGCCTTTTATTCTCCTTTTTGCTTTCTTTTATGTTGGAGAGCATGAAACATTCCATTTTTACATAAAAGCTTTTTTATTTGAAGTATCTTCTAAAAGTTGCATGTGAAAATAAGTGGTGTTCATGCCATGAAGCTCGTTGGTGAAGCCGTCGCAAAACGATACGAGGCTTAGAAGTTTCAAATGTTGTAATTAGTACGAACATTTTAATATTTATTTGAATCAAATTCTTTTTCGTTAATGATGAGCCCAAAGAGTAATATCACGACGAGAAACATTGTAATTGATTTTATCATGGTGTGAATATAAGTGATAATTTGGTCTGAAATAAATATTCTAAATAAATAAATAATATTTATGTTATCTCAATTTTTGTTATTTTGATATTTACGAAGTCAAATTCTCATTTAATCTCTTACATATTAAAAATTTTCTTTAATTTTCAAAGGTTAGAAATTTTATTAGGATTTTAGAGTTTGTCTCGACTAGGGATGTAAACAAGCCGAACATGAGCACGCATGGGCTCAGCTCGGGTTTGGTTGGG